CCCGGGATGGCCAAGGCGGCGGTGCCAAGTGGTGGAAGAAGGAGGGTGGCGAAGGCGGTGACAAAGTAGACGGCGACGAAGAGGAAGCAGAGCGGAAACGAAGAGGGTGTAAAGGGGTCCCCGTCTTTGTCACATCGGAGAAGAGGACGCCGGAAGCCAAATCCTTTACAAGAAGACGGAAGAGTCAAATTCAACAGAACAAGAATTGTCACCAGAAAAGCAGCGAATAGAAAGAAGGTTGTGAACCATAGAGGGTGCAACAAGAATGTCGAAGAAGAAAGGAACCATGAGTGCTTGCGGCGGCACCAGACGAATCTTGGAATACACGAACCATTCGCGACCATGATGGACGAAGGATGAGAGGAAGGAGGTGAATAGAAGAGAGTATACCGTGGTGCAGGTAGTGTGGTAAGTGGCACCCGAATCGGCAATCCGGCCGGTACCAAAGTGAGTGATGTGTCGGGGCCATGGTCTTTGAAGGATCAGCCAAGGCCGCGGGTTCCAACCGACAGTGCCGGGCAAGGTGTCGGGAGGTGGCACCCAAGAAGATGTGGGAGGTGGAGCCCACGCAGACGGGGAGTGAAACCCGGAGGAGCTCCAGTGAGCAAGGCTGGCTTTGGTGGGCGAGGCTCTCACTTTGGAGCCAGGAAGGGCCACATGGAGATGCGCCCGACCACGGGTTGTGGAAGGAGGTTGTGGTGCACCCGTGGAGTCGCGGGGCATCGCACCGGTGTGTGGTGGCTTCATGCCCCCACGCCCCCTCCTCATGGGCGACGGCGGGGCCGCCACGCCCCCCCCACCCCCGCCTGCCCGGGAGAGGAGAACCAAGAAGCGACGACGGCGGCGGTGAGGCGAGGAACGCCACGGAGGAGTAGCGGCCAGGCGGATCGAGGAAGACGAGGACCTGGCGTGGAGGTGGACCCTGGTTGACGCTTACAGTGAGCTCCTCCATGACAAGGTCGCCACGGACCGCAGGAAGGAGGAAAGGGCCTCGCCGGGTGATCCACGCCCGGAGGTGGGCGAAGTGATGTCACCGAGCCCGCGGAGGACATTGAGGACCGAATCGCGGTCCTCCACGGGCCAGCCAAGGTCGCCGAGGGAGTCCGCCATGCTCTTCATCGCGCGCCGTGAGTCGCGCCAACGGAGAGGTCACCACCGGACGAAGCGCGGAAGCTTCGATCGAGACGCAGGCCCGGGCTTCGGCATTGCCGTAAACCGCCTCGAGCGCAAGCCGTGCCCGTGGCGAAGGCCAAGAAAGTTGCGGACGAGGTCGTGGAGGTCTGTGGAGATCGTCCCGATGATCCAGGAGAGGACGACGCTGTCCAGGCGCAGCCACGATGAGGTCTGGACTGCGACCGAGGCGTCGACTAGGACGTGGTCGTCGAGGGCGTAGCGGCGGAGGGTGAGGAGAACCAGGTCCCTCCAGCGGGCGTAAGAGGGCGACTCAGGCTCGAGGACGACCGGGACGAGGAGTCGGATGTTCTGGACACCCCCGGCCTGGTAGTGGAGCTGAGCGACGTGCGGGTCGGCCGGGTCGTGCCAGATGACCGTGGTGTGAGACACGCGGTGACCCGTCGAGCCTGAGGAGGTGGCCGCGGTGTCGTAGGATGTAGGGAGGACAAGGAGCTGCTCCACCTCAGCGATCTGGCGGGCTGGGCATCACCGGCCAAGGCTGGCCGCTCAGCGCCCAAAGCGAGGGCGGCCGCCCAAGCCTGGCTCGGGTGTCAAGCAGAAGAGCCTTCGATGCACCACGAGAGCAGCGGCGAGAGCGGAGTTGGCCCCTGCTCTGATACCATGCTAAAGTTGTGTATTCATCATCAGGCTAACCCTAGAAGGGTAGCAATGTATATTGGTCATACATGGGCCTCATGGGCCTAATACACTCATACTCTCATACTCCAACAGCGAGCACTAAAACAATGAAGTTGGTGCAATGATACTTCCCAATAGCATTTTCAGCAACTATTAGAATGAGTATCACTCTTCTCTACACAGAGATAAACACCCCCAATGTGGAATATATTTAATGAAGCAACATAAGTTATACTTTCTGAAAAGTAGGACGCGAAAAAAAGTAGTGTATGAAAGTCAAAACATTAAATTTTGATTTGTCATTTTCTTTCATCGGCATCACTTGCTAGAGCTTATCTGGTAGCAAGGAGAAAGTAGCACAGGACTACATGGTAAACACACTTACACACCTGAGTAATTTCAGAATACGCGGTCAACTTCTTGTGAAGGATCATTGCGTCAGGAAAATCATTCCCTAATTCACCTGATGATAGGAAAGGGCATAATGAGAAGGAAAATGGTACATAAAATTGAAGGCAAGAAGTGTAGGAATCTAAATTACTAATCTGATTAATTAAGGTAATGAGTGCGTCTGCTGCTGACGGGGGTGCGAGATAACCTTCTATTGAGCAGAAAGCTTTTGGTGAGACAGCGAACTCCATGCAGAAGTGCTAGCTCAACATCACTGGCTTGAAGGCAGTGAAGTCATCAGTAATGGAGGATGTTTAGTGCAGCTAGCCTTCAGGTTTTAGGGTGGCAGCGTAGGAGGCAAAACAAATGAGCATGCCTTTCTGTGGAAGCCAGTTCAGATATACAGGGATATGGCACCCCATGGGCGGGGCGGGCCGCGGGGGAAGCTGGGCAGATGAAGGAGACCGACAGGCAGCAACAGCTGTGCAGTTTTCGTGCACCAGGATTGTGAACGGAGATGTCCACTGAGCTGTTGATGCAGATGGGTGGGGATGCTTCGGTCACCCTTGTGTGACCGGTGGGTGACGTGGCCTCATGAGAAGCTAGAAAAATCAGGTAGTGGGGCTCTCCAATTTAGGTATAGAAGATAGAAGATTCGTTGCCTTCTCTGTTGAATGCAGAGAAGAGTAGTCATTTGTATCTATTTGTGTTACCCATGCTGCTTAATACACCAGAAGCCTTGCCTTCACACATTATGCATGTTTGTCTGTCTTGTTACTCACAAATGTTCCGTTAGCCAATAATAGTCGTCAAAAACACATGTGAAATGCACAATCCTGCTAGTAATTAGCAGTGAACTGATTGGTGCCGGATTGGACTGTTGTTATTTCTATTTCAAAATGGAAATGATTACGTGTTACAATTATCTGTATGTATTATAGTGCTGGTTTCCTTGTGCTTATTATGCAACTTGCATACACTATAGGCTGTGATGTATCCATGTTAGTATCCTCCCCTTCCTCTCAGGCATCCATTCCTTCAATTTACCTTGCATGTTCTGCTCTTTGAAAGCAAAGGTTTCTTAGGTGAGAATGGACTGAAAATCAGCAGGGTTTCCCCTAGGTCTTATTGAAGCTCATTTTTTTTTGAAGAGTTGTTTGTTTTGTTCCTTTTTCTCTTTATGCCTTTTTGAGTTATTAATGCTGCCTCTATGGGTTCTCCATCCCGAAGAACCAAGCTTTCATGACGAGAAACAACTTGATTTCTTGTGACTAATGGAGCATACTAACATTGCAAGCAGCTGGAAGCATCACTAGTTATGGATCCAGTTAGATCCTCAAGAGGATTGGATCCAGGTACATTGCATATGGTTGAAAAAGATTGTTTTGGAAGTTATTTAGTGGCTTGGTAAAAGTGGAGCAGATTAATGTACATCATCACATACAGCATGATTCTGTCAGTTACCACTATTCCTGTAAGCCCGCAAAGCATTGATGGCTGAGAAAACTAGGACGCCCTGTCGCTGTGGTACTATTTTGGATCTTTGTTTTCTGATGCTAGAATTAGTTTTAGCAGTATCAGTTGCCATATTTTGATATAACTTGCTCTGAGACTAAGACAGCCCAAAATCAGTCTGGTCAATTGTCAACTTTTGGTTCTAACTGGATCACATCAGTAGTTAGCTGATGATCAGAGGTTTCTAAAATATCTATTCTCCTTGTTGGATGCATTTACTTGTGTTACTTCTCATTGCCTATGCATATCCTCCCTTCTAGCAGTAGTCCTTGGATGATACACCTTCCTCATGTTTGGGTATGTACTAGCAGTTGTTATCAGTTCTCTTCATTGATGTCAGACCATTTTCACTGATCCACTAACTGTAGCACACTACCTGTGACTATTGTATCATTGAATCATGTGCTTGGGGTGAGCAGCAAGAGTGACTGCTACAGTCTCTTCGATCTTTAGCATCCCACTCTTTTCTGATTGGTATGTAAAAATGATGGATATGTCTATGAGTGATATTTTTTTGGGGCAAGAAATCATTTTGGTTCGAGACTGATTGGATTACACGGTTCTGAGTGATGCATTGCTGCTTAAGTCCTGAGGCAATCTTCAACTCTAACTATCATTGATTGAATGTGTATGCATATGCACTATGTAGTGTTAGGTTACTTGAGTAAGGTGTAGTTAGTATTGTTCCTTGTGATTGGGTTGCTTTATAAGAGAGTTAATTTTGCCTTGCTTGCTTATGATATATAAAATAAAAGCTCTACATTGAGAACCAGATTAATGTTTTGCTGGGCTTAGGGAAGCTGCATGTTTTTATGTGGTAACTGTAGTATTTGAGGGACACTGATCCATGGCATGTCACCTAGAGATGGCCGTCTTTACCTGTCAATGTTCTGTCTGGCAACTTCTATACTTCTCTATGTATATCTGTGTCGACTTTTTGAAACAGGTGGAACTTTGTAATTTCGTTGTGTGTTTTCGTAATTAAATTCGGGATTGCCTATGGTGGAAAAAAATTATGTCTATTTTTCTATCAATCATCTTTAGCTTATTTATAACATTACTTTTTTTAAGATATGAGTTTTAGAATTTTCATGTCCTTTACCAAGCAAATTCCTAAATTTCACAACCTTGTCGCTTTGCATGTCACATTTGAGCCTATTAATTTTATTTAACCTTACCTATTTTTTTATGTGGTATCAGGTAGAGGTGATGATAAGGCATAGTTTTTTGACTTAGCCTGCCTTAGCTATTTCTTGAAGCTAAGGGAAATAATAATTGGCGTTATGGCATTTAGAAATATGGTTTGCACTCCCCAAGTCATTGATCTTACGTCAGAGAGAGGGCAAGCTCGAGGAGGCAATGGTAGTGAGATACCTGAGCAAGGTGCACAACATGCTGTCAGAGTTGTAGGAAATGGAACGAACATTGGTCTCTCTGGTGTGCGAAGTTACTATGATGTGAGCATAAATCATCACCATCAGCCTGTTCATAACCCACCCCCGAATATAGGTGTTGATTCTGGTTTTGTCTTCGCATCAAATATGTACAATCCCTGCATGTCATCAACATCAATCAACAGACATGTTTCTCATGCTCAGAGCTTTGGATCGGGGAATCAAACATTGCCTCTAAACCAAGTCCCAGGAACTATGGATGAGAGTAGCAGAAATGACAGTGTTGGTGAAAGTGCTAGAGATCATATTAAAAGGAAAAATGCTGCAGTTGCTGGAAGCTATCCTTTTGTTAATGGATTTGCAAGCTCAAGCTCATCTTCTCATGCACCTCAGAATCCTATGCTTAGGCCTTGGGACCCTTCTTTTGAATCAACAGTTTCTTCTAATGTTGCACCGTTCAACCCATCAGAATATCATGCACACAGCAGTTGGCCGTCCTTAGAAGGATCTTCCATAACTGGAACTAATGGATTCAACTCAATGGCTGTTCATCCAGAATCAGCACAGCGTGGGAACTATACATTTCCATCCAATCACATTGGCCATTCATGGATGTCCCATGCTACAAATGGTATTGCCGATGGAGTTCCCCAGTGGGAATATGTCAATGCAACTACTAATATTCAAGGTAAGGAGTTCATGGACAAATGCCAGTTTTTTTTATCACGAGACATCTTTAAAATCTATTTTCTGCTATCTAATTGAACAATCAATATTGACACATAAAATCGTTGCCAAGTGTACCTGATAAGTCAACTCATAGTTGATTAGCTTTGTGTAAAGCAACACCGCACACCCTAATCGGGGGGGGGGGGTGACCTTCATTATATAGCCTAATAGGCTAGGGTTACAATGTACAAGGCCAATGGGCCGTACACCCAATATGGGCTGTTACTATTACATTCTAACACCCTCCCTCAGTCTAAGCGGGAGTGTCACGAACACAAAGACTGGACCTAAAGTCAGTGAACAACTGTACAGGTAACCCTTTGGTCATAATGTCCGCGAATTGATGAGAGCGATGGAACATGGAGCACCGAACACATCCCCAAAGCAACCTTTCTCACGGACGAAGTGAATATCTATCTCAATATGCTTCGATGCGGCGATGATGAACTGGATTGGCGGTCATGTAGACAAGAGCGACATTGTCGCGATGAGCGATCGTCGTTGAAGAGATGGGTGCGTGGAGCTCTGAAATAATCGACGAAGCCAACAAGTCTCGACCACGGCGTGCGCAACAACACGATACTCGGTCTCCGCGACTCGAACGAGAGACCGTGAGTACGTCGTTTGGAGGACCAAGAGACTAAGTTGTCGCCGAGGAAGATCTGATAGCTGAAGTGGGCGCCGAGAGTCTGGACAACCCACCCAATCAAGATCGGAGTAGGCGGTCAAAATTTGGTGATCTTTGCTGTGCCGATGTGAAGCCGGTGGGGATGTGGTGCCCTTGACATACCGCAGGACACGCTTGAGCATCGCAAGATGAGGCTCGCGGTCGTGCATGAAGAGGCAAACCTCTTTGAATCGCATAAGGCGAGGTCCGGACGAAGTCGGCGTGAGATATCTTGTAAGCGCCTTGGCGAGGCTGCGGATCGAGTGGCATCCGCCATGGAGCGCGCCGTCCGTGTGAGAGCTTGGCATGAGTGTCAGCGAGAGTCGCCAGAGAATGACACTCAACCATCTTGTGTTATTTGGAGCAGTCCCACGTGTCTTGCATCAAGGCGCCGAGAAGAAGAGGCCGCCGCCAGAATCGCGTGATGAGATCCCGAGGAAGTGATGAAGATCCCCGAGATCTGTCATGGCGAACTTCGGAGTGAAGGAGCTCGGTGATGCGACGAAGAAGCGGGTCGACGATTTTGTCGGGGATGATGTCGTCGACGAAAGCGACAAGTAGGCGATGTCGGCACCTGCTTTGTAAACAAAGAGAGATGTATCGGAGGTCGAAGCAGTGAAGCCGGACCGCTGGACGAAGCCGGAGAACCGCTGGTGCCATGCCCTGGGCGCCTGCTTGAGTCCGTACAAGGACTTTTGCAGGAGACAGACGTGGTCGGGAGCCGCCGGGTCGACGAAGCCGGGCGACTGCTGGCAGTAGACTGTCTCGTTCAGATGGCCGTGAAGAAAAGCGTTCTTCACGTCCAGCTGATGTATCGGCCAGGAGCGAGAGGCGGCGATGCTGAGGACGACCCGAATGGTGGCCGGTTTGACAACCGGGCTGAACGTCTCGTCGTAGTCGATGCCGTACCGCTGCGAGAACCCACGAACGACCCATCTGGCTTTATGACGAGCCAGAGAGCCGTCAGCATGAAACTTGTGCTTGAAGACCCACTTGCGGTGATAGCGTTGGCACAGGCGGTCGAGGAACAAGACGCCAGGTGCCATTGTCCACGAGCGCCTTGTATTCTTGGCCATGGCCATGGCAAGTCGCAATCGCAGACGGCCTTGGCGCGGGCGAGAGTTGCCCCAACAACGGAGAAGCGACCGAGGCCGCCGCGGTGAAGCCATACTGCATTGCATGGGCGGGCGGCGAGGAACCCGTCTGGGAACGAAGTCGCCAGCGCAGAGGCTCTGGGCGGCACCGCCGCCGCGCTTGATCTTTGGAGCTGGGGCACCATCGCCATGGCTCTGGGGCCGGAGGTATCTCCGGCGGCGGGTGTGGAGCCGGTGCCGGATGTTGACGACGGCTGTATTGGATGCTATACCGCTGCCGGACAGGCGAGGCGGCGGCACTTTTCTTTGGCGGAGGAGGTGCAGGAGCCATGGCTCGCCGAGGCGCTGGGTAGCCGGTAAGCAGCTGCGTGCCACAGATGGCGAGGTTGAACTAACGGGTCGCCGCAAGCATCATCGTCTCGAGGCAAACGAGGCAGGCAAAAGCGCAACCGAGGCCCATGAGTTCCGAACGTCTGAGGTAGACGGGGCAGGCAAAGGAAGTATATCCTGTAACAAAAAGTCAAAAGAATCCAGTCTCGGGGCTTGGAAGCCGCAAACGGAAAGTGAGTCTCATCAAAAACGTGGCGAGAGATGATGATCTTGCGAGTGGAAAGATCAAGACACCGGTAGCCCTTCTGGGAAGGAGGGTAACCGAGGAAGACACGCTGCTGAGCGAGGAGACAATTTACGGGGAGTCGTGGCATTGAGGTTCGGATAGCACAGGCAACCGAAAACTCTAAGGATGGAGTAGTCTGACATTTTGCGGTGAAGGAGATGATAGGGAATACCATTATGTATGGACGATGAGGGCCGCCGGTTGATCAGAAACACAGCGGTGGAAAGAGCTTCGACCCAATAGGATGGAGGCATGGTGGCATGAAACAGAAGCGTGCGAACAACATTGTTCAGTGTGCGAAGCATCCGCTGAGCTTTGCCGTTCTGGGCGGATGTGTAGGGGCACGAGGTGCGAAGCAGGATGCCGCGGCTAGCCAGGAAGGTAGCGGTGGCATTGTTGATGAACTCGGTGCCATTATTTGCCTGAAAACAGCGCACAGGAAAGCGGAACTGTGTGTGAGCGTGAGCAACAAACTGAACAATATGTTCATGAACTTCGGATTTATGGCGAAGAGGAAACATCCAACAATAATGAGTATAATCATCAACTAGCACGAGATAAAATTTATAACCAGAAATGCTCGAAATTGGAGAGGTCCAGACATCACAGTGAACAAGTTCAAAAGGTGCAGATGTACTAGAAACCGAACTAGCAAATGGCAGCCTAGCGTGTTTGCCTAGCTGACAGGCATGACAAAGGCGGCGAGCTGCTTTATTACACTGGATAGCTGATAGCGTATTTAGAGTAGTGACGACGGCAGGTGCAAGATGACCAAGGCGGAAGTGCCACAGCTCCGGGGAAACGACGGCGACATGGCAGCGAGGTGGCATGCGATGTGGAATGGTGTAGAGGTCCCCGTTGCTATTGCACCGAAGGAGGACCGTCTTGGTATGTAGATCCTTAACAGAAAAACCAGAGGCGTCAAACTCAATTGAACAGTTATTGTCACGAGTAAGCTGTCGAACAGATAACAGATTACGAGTGAGTTGGGGAGCGACAAGAACATTATCAAGATGAAAAGGACGATCAGCTATTTGAATAAGAGAAGTGCCACGACTAAGAATAGGAATTGATTGACCGTTGCCGACCGTAATGGAGGACGGTGGCGACGGGAGATGGGAAAGTAAAATACCGTCGTTGGAGGACATGTGAGATGTCGCTCCGCTGTCCATGACCCAGGGTGTAGACCCACCCTGAACTGCCATCTGGTTGAGAGCGGCGATCAGGCTGGTCGGATCCCAACTGGCTGGAGGCCCGTAAGCCGGAGGACCGCCGGCAGTGGAGAACTGAGGCGGCGCGAAGGCGGTGTGTGCCTGTGGAGGAGGCACAGGTTGCGCACCCCACTGCTGCTGCTGCTGAGGTGGCCACTGGACGGCCCAAGGGTTGTAGCAAACCCAAGGGCCGGCCGACTGAGGAGCCTGACGCCCGCCGGAGCCGCCGCCTTGCCCGCTGAAGCCGCCACCGTGCTGCTGGCTGCGCCCGCCACCGCCACTGCCACTGCTGCCGTTGCCGCCACGCCCACCCTTGCCCTTGCCACCCTTGCCCTTGCCACCGCCCCCACGATTGGTGGGTGCAGAGGAGGTGGACCGGCAGGACGGTGAAGTGCAGGAGGAGGTGGTGGAGGCGGCAAGAGCTAAAGCCGAGGCCTCTGTGCCCTCGGTGCCAAGGCGGAGCTCCTTGACGCGGAGCATGTTGGTGGCAGACTTGAAGTCGGGAAGCGGCGATGAGTTGGCAATGATGTCGGCGGCGCGAGAGCGGAAGGAAAGGACCGTAATTAGGGCTGATACCATGTAAAGCAACACCGCACACCCTAATCAGGGGGGGGGGGTGACCTTCATTATATAGCCTAATAGGCTAGGGTTACAATGTACAAGGCCAATGGGCCGTACACCCAATATGGGCTGTTACTATTACATTCTAACACTTTGTTTAATTATTTTTTTTAAAAAGGAAACTCGAGTAAGTGGTCTTCTGAGTTCTTTACTGGGGTGATATGATTTGAACCGTTTTGCTTTTAACAGGCAGATTCGCGCATTCAGGAGCCACAGAAATCGCAAATGGAGGCTTTCAGGAATATCAGAATGGCCCTTCAACTGTTTCTCGGGGACCAGTACCTTATTTCCACCAGCATGCGATGCATGGCATGCAAGCTCATAATCTGCTTGATCCTACTCAAATGCAAGTTCCTTACCAACAATGCCACAATAACGGTGTCTTGCATGGTGGTGTTAATTACCCTGGAAACCGTCTCCACTTAGGTCCACGAATTCCAGTTCTCTTCTCCAGTCCTGAACATACTTTTGGACCTCCACAGCATCCGTTCCTGGCAAATCCAGTTAACCACCGCAACATAAGGATTCTACCACCCGAGGTAACATTACACTTCAATATGTTCTGGCAGCTAGCTTTCTGGCTACCTGCCTTTGTAGGTTTTGTCCTGTTTAGTGACTGTGCATATTATATGACATGCCCTTTCTGATTTATGACAGCATATAACTTTTTTCTGTCATTAGTACTACATGCTCCCTCTAGCTTTGTCCTAAGTGAAACTTCTATAATTTTGACCAAGTTTATAAAAAAAAAACGCACCAGCATATACAACATTGAATTAGATTTGTTAAATTCTTCATGAAATGTATCTTGATAGTGCACGATTTGATTTTGTAGATGTTAATATGTTTTTTTATAGAACTTGGTCAAAGTTCGTTAGAGAAGTTTGACTTAGTACTAAACCAATGTAAACTATAATTTGGAATGAGGGAATAATTAGTAGCTGAAACTACGTTTTGGCTACATGAATGTAGAGTACTAGAGTAAACAGATGTACTCTTGGCAGAATTTTTCGCAGCTGCTTTTATTTTTGTTATTAAGGATATATGTTAACAGCACATGTAAGCTCATATGGCTATTTTGTTTGTCCCAGCAGCATGCCACAATAATGGATTTTTCGAGATTGTATGAAGTGTCAAATACTGTAGATGAGCATAGAGATATGCGTCTAGATATAGACAACATGACGTATGAGGTATTTGGATGCCGCTGCTCTGTAAATTCACATCACATATTAGCTATTGTCTGACATGCTTCTTTGTTTTTTTTCACTACAGGAGCTTTTAGCATTAGAAGAGCAGATTGGAGATGTCAATACTGGCCTGACAAAAAGTCACATTGTAGATAAATTGAGGACTAGCCTATATGTTCCAGGAACATCGAGCATGTCTGATCAGCCATCTAGATCTTCTCTAGAGAATGATGCTTGCATAATATGCCAGGTCCTACTCCTTCACTGTATACTTTGTTTATTGACAACTAAATTTCAGCTGTTCCAAACAATGAATCATCATCCAGCTATCTGCCCCAGGTTTGACATGAACATTACAGCTGCTGCGCTGATTGCATCACTTCTCTTCCACATGGTCTGAACTAAACAGTTGTGGATCTTAGTTACACTGGTAGCTTGAATAATGTTTAGTATGCATCTGTTGACGCTGCAGATGAAAATATGAAATATCTAACACAACACCACCGGGTAGGGGCAGTAAATAAAACCCAGATCCCACAAGTTGGGAGTCTTTCAAATAATTTCAAAGCATTATATTTTGTTTACGTTTGTCGTTCCAAATTATAAATCGCTTTGACTTTTTTTTTTCATCCATTTTGCTATGTATCTAGGCATATTATTATATTTAGATGTATAACAAAATGGATGTACCAAAAAAGTCAAAGCGACATAATTTGGAACAGAGGGAGTAGTAAGTAGATATAGTGTGAATAAAGCTTTACCTGAAGTAGTGGAAAGATCCATGAAGTGCGTCATCAGGGATGAATTAAATCAGAAGCACTTTGTCACTCGCCAGTTCATAGTTCTAAGTAAGTTTTGCTCGCTGCATCTCGCAGGAGGAGTACCAGGTTAGAGACTGCGTTGGCACCCTTGACTGTGGTCACAGGTACCACGCAGAGTGCGTGAAGCAGTGGTTGATGGTGAAGAACTTGTGCCCCATCTGCAAGACAACAGCATTGTCTGCCAACAGAAGACAAGGACAATGAGCAGGAATGAAATAAGCCTGTTGGTTATTTGCTTCGACAAACGTTCAGCTCAATTTTGTACATAAGAAGCGGTAGACAATGGTGCTACCTGTATTTGTTGTGACCGGGAGGGAGTACTCAGCTTCCTGAAACTGTACAGCCATAACATTTATTATTTTTCTTCAAATGTAGAATATTTAAAATCCGCTCAGTTCGCCCCCAATGTGTATGATATGGCGAACCAGGCAGACAAAAGCGTCCGTAATGGCATCTCTAGGCAGCCTTGTATCTATTAACTTTGATGAAACTAATAGAACATGGATCCTCCTGTACTTTTTTTAGAAGTTGACGGCACCAAAATGGCTCTTTATCACTATCGGTTCGGCCAGTGAATGTTTCTCTGCAGTTTAATTACGTGCGGGGTATTTTGTGCACTCTTGCTCGAAGCTGCCAAAACATGCCAATATTTCATCCAAATCAGTGGAGATGGCTTTCCCTATATGTATGACAGTACAAAGGTCATGGCGCGAGAAATACAATCGAGGACAGCGATTGCAAGTCTGCAAAACGTCATGGCGCCCTCTCCAAACCACGTTGTCAATGTCGAGCGCCAACCACCCCCAACCGCTAGACTTGACAATGTCAAGAAAGATTGTCATCACGTTTTGTCTTCCTTAATCAGCAAAGCGTATGTATGTTTGACCAGGGCTATCCCCACCGAAAAAAAAAGAAACGAAACGAAAAGCTAAGCCGAGCAGCAGCCGCCCGCGTTCACGGGGGAGACCTCGTCCTTGGCGGCGCCGACGTCGATGGTCTTGCCCCTGGGCGGCGCGGCGGGGTCGTCCCCGATGTCCAGCGCGTTCCGGCTGACGACGTGGTAGATCTGGCGGAGCACCTCGGCGAAGGCGCGGTCCACGTTGGTGGCGTCCAGCGCCGACGTCTCCATGGAGAAGGTGCCGTGCCGCTCCGCGAAGGCCGCGGCGTCCTCGTGCGTCACGGCGCGGAGGTGGCGCAGGTCGGCCTTGTTGCCCACCAGCATGACCACGATGTTGGCGTCCGTGTGGTCCCGCAGCTCCCGCAGCCAGCGCTCTGCGTTGTCGAAGGTGATGCGCCGGGTCACGTCGTACACCACCAGCGCGCCCACCGCGCCGCGGTAGTATGCGCTCGTGATGGCGCGGTACCTGGAGGGGACACAGGCAGGCAGCAAGGGCACACGAAATCAGCTGCGATCGCCGAAAGGGTCAAGGAAATTGAATGGCACGCTAGCGAAATGCAAGTAAAGTTTTTTTTAAAAAAAACGATAATGCACGTAAAGTCAGCTGGAGTTGAAAATGTGATACGCAAGCAAGAAACTGAAAAGCTCGTGATGATCATGGACGAACTTAATTGTTCGGTTCATTTTGGCATGAACTCCCAGCTGGAGTAGCACGGAAATCAATCCCGTTTTCAGCCATATAAAGCATCAAGCAATCATCAACAGGCCAGTGGTTTGGTTTTCATCTTTGAAATGCGAATCAGAAGCACATGCATGTTCATTCCGTCAGTTACGCTTAAGTTTCCATATTAACAACCATTTACTAATAATCCATACAAGTTACTAACCAGGAAAGAAGCCCTGAAAATGGTGCACAAATCCTAGAACTGCATCTGCAATCTGCATAACGAACAGCAAAGAAGGAAGGGCGTAGTACCTCTCCTGCCCGGCGGTGTCCCAGATCTGCGCCTTGACGAGCTTGTCGTCGACCTGGACGGTCTTGGTGGCGAACTCGACGCCGATGGTGGACCTGGTCTCGAGGCTGAACTCGTCCCTGGCGAAGCGCGACAGCAGGTTCGACTTGCCCACGCCGCTGTCCCCGATCAGCACCACCTTGAACAGGTAGTCGTACTCCTCCTCCGCGCGGTACCCCGCCGCCATCTCTCTCTCTCTCTCTCCCCTCCCGGCCCGCAACGGAACGGAGACGTGGAAGGAACGCGCTCGCTCTCGTTGATCGAACTACCGGCCGATTGGGCGATCGATCGATTGGTTGGCGCGATTCGATCGCCCCGCTTCCTGTCTAAATAGCAGCGCGGCGCCGGCCTTCCTCTCTGTCTGCCCCCGCCTCAATTATAACCCTTCCACTTCTACGCGGACGCGGCGCTGGGCAGGGTAACGCGGTGCGGCACGGTGCGTTTCGTCTTTCTTTCTGGTGGTGGTGGGCTGCGGTGCTCTGCCTCTGCTACGGCAAAAAGGGGAGGGAGCGGGGCAGGGGGGACGAGGTCGCCGCGTTTTGCTACGGGTTGTTGTTCTTGTGTTGCGCTGCTCTGCTCTTTTTGTTTGTTTGTGATGAAGCGCTATTGGGCGGCGCGGGAGGAGCCTGGAGCCAGCCGGGAGCTGTGGTCGTGGCCTTGGAGATTGGGTTGGCACGCGTGGTGACTGCTGAGGTGGACACACAGGCAGACGACGAGGCGTTGTCTCGGTCTCGGTCCTGGACTCCTGGTTCCCTCTCGCTGACTCGGCTGCTGAGTACACATGTGCACACGGTTACTTTCCTCCCCGAGAGAAATACCAGCAACATCGAGCTCTCATCAGCCACCCATTTACGAAAGCTTCGACGCAATCACGGTCATGTAGACCGCTGTGATCACAAATTCCTCACAAGAAATAGCATCATCAGCTTTGTTGCACCAGCGTGTCGAGCTCTTCGCGTGCTTGGGCTGGAAGGAGAATTAGTAGGCCTGTGCATTAAGAATTTCAGTTTAACAAAGTGTTAACCAAATTTGTTGTAAAAAATAGCCAATCAAATTCGGTTTTATTTGAAACAGTTCAGATAATTGGTTAAGCGTAATATATATTATACTTCTAAAAAAGATAAGACAATAACAATTATATTGGAAAGCACCTAACAAGAAATGGATCATGTATAATAAAACAAAAGGAAAAGCAACAAAGAATGCTTCTAACAAATAAAGTTTCATAGAAATACAATTAAATATGCAAGTGTGCATAATTTTAGCATTTTAGTTAAATCGGTTAATGCCAACTCAAAATCGAATAAATTTTGGGTAACCGTATAGCGCCCAAGTCTTCACCCAATAGATCACGAAGATTTCGGTTAACCAACTTTTTTTGATTAAATCATTTCGGTTTGGTTAATCAGTTTTGCTAAAATTAATGCAATTAAAAATCCTAAAATTTTCTTTAACTTACTAAATTTATAGAAACTAGTTTCGTAATTTTCCAAGGTAAAATAAATTTTCTATAAATTTAGTAAGTTAAAGCAAATTTTATGATTTTTAATTACATTAATTTTTATGTAAAATAATTGGATATCTTTTTGAAAATATTTTTATGAATTTTTAGATATTTTATAAATAAGTATTTCTAGTCCAATTTAACTTTCAACTTAGTCTAATATAATACCTTTGACGTGACGTTACATGAGCAAAACCACCATCAAAACATGGTCCAAAAAACAAATAATTTTAAAAGTTAAGATTAGAAAACTGATTTTGTAGATAAGTGATAAATTGGATGACCGTAAAAGCTGAGAGGGTCAATAAACTTTTTCCCTTTAAAAATTGGCATAGTTCCTGACGATCGCTGCGCTGCCTTCATACACGTGCCCCGCCGGCAGACGGGGAACGTTGGGCTCCCGAGGCTGGGCCGAACCGGCCCATAGATTGCATACTGGGTGTACGTTCTTTTTTTTTTTGTACGCTTGATCTTCTAATAAAAGGGGGAAAAGGAATACATAAATTTAATCTATTTTTTAAAATTACACAGTACAACGTCGATGCCCACAACACGTACGCACACTCACCCCTATGAACACAAGTACGCTAGCCCTACCCCTATGAGCACCTCCGAAGGACTGAGCCGGTAGATCTCGAGATTCACAAAGTCACCACATGCGCCTCGCTGTCGACGGGGACGTCGTCTACTACTAAAAGCATAGCACCATTAAATCCTGGAATAAATCTAGAAAAATGCGAGCACCCGTGCCAAGTTGAGAACTTGAACCCGGGTGGACAGGTTCCACCACAGAGAACCCAACCAACTGATCTATGATCAGTTCGCACAGAAATCTAATCTTCAGTTCTTCACTACCCCTCTTTTGTATAGAAGTTTTTGAGCTAGTTAGAATGCATTATTAAAAAAAAGTAGGGGCAAGAGGACATGGCATCCAAGGGGCGATGAAGATGTACACGTACGCCGCCTCCACGACGATTGAGCAATAATACTCCAAGCGTCTGTGTACGGTTGTACCACGGTCCTATAACACGAACAAACACAAGGGTCCATGGTCTCGTGGAAGATCTGCAAGAAAACCAGTTGATCGGAGAAAAGGTGACGACGACCCATGGATGCAGTCTGCAGATGATGCCGATGTCTCATCTCATCAGTCATCACTCATCTGCTGCATTGCATGCACGGGAACCATGGATGATGGGTGAGAAATGGGAGGGGCTTGCAAGTCAACAACCGAGGCTCCCCTGGCGATTTGTTTAACCGATCTCCCTAACTCGCCCGTCAGCCCGCCAATTGAGTATGAGGCCGAAGAAACCAGACGACCTCTGTTCAGAACTCGGAAGCATGGCGCGCTACCGCCAAACGAGGTTTTCCGCGCCGCGGATCCATCAGCGGAGCGGACACAAACAAACACACGCACGAGCCTGGATCATCTTGGATTGCACAAGATCAGCCATTTAAAAATTACTCTGCAGCTAGGCAAGGCAAGGTATATGTCATGGTCCATGCATATGCATGCATCATGGATCGTACAGGGACAGCAAAAAAAAGAAGGGAAAAAAACACGAAGATGGCTAGCCTAGATTATCGGATAGATAGTTAGGAAGTTAGCCATGCCGACTGTGACGTGAACTGCATGCTGTCGATGAGAAAGAAAAGAAGTACGAGAAGGGAGGGCCGCGAGCACCGTTGCGCACCGTTTGTTCCGCGGTCCCGAACAGGGCGGTGAGGAGGTCGTCCTGACTCCTGAGGCCCTGTTTGTTCACGGGAAGAACACAGGGAAAACGAAGGA